AACAGGCAAAGATATACGTATACGAAATCAGACACTTTGAGACATAGGATTATATGTGACCACATATTGAAATAAAACTAAAGTTAGTGGTTAGTAAGGGAAAAAATTCAGTGAAATAACAATAAAGCTCGTTAGAGTTTAGTATCCCGTTGACCTAAAAAGAGCAATTTCATTTTGAAAAAGCACACATCATGAAATTTGATACAGTCGTAAAGTGAGATATCAAAGTTGCTAGAAAACTGAAACTAGTACACTCGTAAAAGAGCCGATTTGTTTCGTATGCTGAATAAAATTGGAAGCTTTGCAGTAAAAATGAGTAGACATTTGATTATATAGAACGTAAAACTTAGTGGCATCAAGCTGGTCTAATAACGACGAACAAGGAAATAACTAAATGAGGCTTGGAATACGTTTCTGAATAAAGTCACTTATCTGCAGATTAATGAACCGGGATATACCAATGTACTAGTATAACATTTAAGCGAATGTATATAAAACACAAAGAACTTATTTTTGATATTCAATGAACTATAAAAAACATTCCGAGCTAACAGTCTTTTCGTTAATTAAATTAGTGCGTTTCAGTGTTGTTAAATAAATAAATAGATCAATAGCGCTACAACCTCTTTAGGTCTGTGCCTCGGATTTCTGAGTCTGTTTCACGATCATTTTTCAATCAAATATGCAAGTAGGTGATCAGCCTCCTGTGCCTGACACGCCGTCGACTTTTTAGGTCTAAGACATGTCGGTTTCCTCACGATTCTTTCCTTCACCGTTCGAGCGAATGTTAAATGCGTATATAGAAAGAAAGTCCATTGGTGCACAGCCGGGGATCGAACCTACGATCGATCAGCTGAGAGTCGCACGCTAAAGCCACTAGGCCATCACTGCTCTTTCACAGTTTTTAGTGTGTAGTAAAACAGCAAAGTAAACACCCTTTTAGCGTATTATTTCATTATTATTGAATACAATATGGATTAAATGTCATAAAATAAAACCACGTAATTTTTAATCATTACCAACATTAAGCTTTATAAACCAATCTTTAATCCTAGAAAATAATTCATATAAAGCAGCGTGTTAATATTGACATAAATTCATGATTACAGTATTGGCATTATATCGTAAATTATTGGCCAGTTCAACTTCATAAGGATGACGTTAGTGCTTATAGATTTGCATATTCAGTGCCGTTTAACTTAATACCAACACTAGCTTTGCGGTCAGGGGAGTTACACATAATTCCTGGTACTTGCATCTTTGATAAGTATAGTGAGTGCAGATTATGTGTTCCATCTAATCACAAATGTAAACACAACATTTAAGGTAGAACTGATTACAAATATGATTCAAGGATTCGTTGATGCCTAATCAATATTTTCAAATAAAAGAGAAGGCGGTTTCACAAGAAAGGATGCGTAAAATGGTCAATTGTCAAAATTTTTTTTAACTGTCTTAACACATTTATACATTGCAAAAATAACTATATCTCTCCTCTAACGTTATCACTTAAGTACCTCGCACATAAAAGTTCTTTCGCGTTGATATAATGTAAAAGATGATGCCTTATACATAATTATTAATACTTATAAGTCCGTTATTTCGTAGCATATGTTGAGTCTACTTTTACACTAAGCCTAGAATAAAGAATTAGGGTTCATGGTAGTGTTTAGATGAGAAAGCACGTACTGAGACGCTTATAAGTCCTTTTGTACACTTCTTACTGAATAGAAAGTAAGAGCTTCTAGTCGACTACAGAGAAGAATCTTAAATTCAGTTCTAGTTCAGTTCTAGTCTAATTCTAGGACATTTGGTATACCTGTATGTAAGATTTAAGAGTTAACTCTGAAATCTTAAAGATAAATCTTTAAGTGTAGTCTATATTAAATTTTCAAAATATGTTGTTTCGAAATTACAGATTTAGGTAAATCCCTTATAAAGTACCAAGAATGATAGACATTATTACTGATTGTTCTTAACATTCAAAAGCACATAGCATATAATAAAAAAATCTGTCGTCCAACATCATAATTAGAAACGGAGATACGAAAGTTAAGCGGTTTAGTCCATTAAAAAGACTTCGTATTAAAACATCGCTTCTAAAAATGTAGATCTATGTAGATTTTAGACCGGAACTTTTACCAACTGCTACGGATCATGCCCACCTGTATCGCCTCGGTGTGTGGCGTTCTACTGTAGAGCTTTACTAGAACACCTACCACAATGGTTGCACACATCTACTACCCTTAACTACTTTATTTATGTTAGTTACCATTTATTAATCTAATATATAAAATTCTCGTGTCACAGTTTTCGTTGCCATACTCCTCCAAAACGGCTCGACCGATTCTCATGAAATTTTGTGTGCATATTGGGTATGTCTGAGAATCAGACAACATCTATTTTTCATCCCCCTAAATGTTAAGGGTAGTCCACCCCTAAATTTTTATTTTTATTTTTAGATATTTTTTCTGTTTTTATGATACAGCATTAAAAAATACATACAAACTCCTAACTTTCAGCTAGTTATGTATATTTCCGTATACACCAGTTGAAGCAAAGAAAAACAGTAGTGGGCATGAGAAAAATTTGCACTTTATCTATAACCTTACAAATAAGTTAAGAGCGGGCACTAACAAAAATCACTCATCGTAGATTTGTTTTTATTTAAGTATGTGATGTTTGAATTAAAAACAGTAAAAATGTATTGATCCTTCACTATAATTTGAATGGTTCACTCTAATTTAAAATGCGATATAAATTACTCGATACCAAAAAAAGACACCTCTAACTTTTGCCTTATTTCGATTTTATTCAATCATGGTAGTATTGAAAATAAAATAAATCAGTGGCACTACAGCCTCTTTAGGTCTGGGCCTCAGATTTATAAAACTGTTTCATGATCATTTTTAATCTAATGGGCAAGTAGGTGATCAGCTTCCTTTGCATGACACACGCCGTTGACTTTTTGGGTCTAAGACATGTCGGTTTCCTCACGATGTATTCGTTCACCGTGCGAGAGAATGTAAAATGCGCACATAGATTAGTCCATTGGTGCAGTGGCGGGGATCGAACCTACGACCTCAGGGATGAGAGTCGCACGCTGAAGCCACTAGGCCAACATTGCTCTCATGGTAGTATTATGGAGTCAAAATAATTTGGCCGAGAGCTGTTAATGATTTAATTAAATAAAAAGTATTTGGCGTTTACTTCATTTTCATTCCGTGAAACACTGTATCGTCCGTCTTATCTCACCCGAACTTTAGGCATACGTTTGTTTCACTAGTCACTAGAGCGGGCAGAGGGAGACGCGCGGGTGAAATGAATATTGCCAGCACTATGCGCGCTCTTAAAACGCCCATTTGAGTGTTGTCAGTAAGTGACTTAATCTTAGAGAGGAAGATGGGCCGGAAGTTGGCTCAATGATTCGCTTTGATCTGGCATTCTATTTTGTTTTATATAGATAAATAGTACTTACTTAATGTCCATTTTTTAACGGTATTTGAATATGAATTAAATTAAATTATACTGATTCAACTCTCATATTATGTAGGCCACTGTTAGGTCTTCATACAAGCAACATGTACCCTTGTACCCAATTACAAAAGGATGTTGAAAATAAATGAAAAAGAGGGCAGTGACGACTGTAATAAATTATGCAGGCGGTTCGCTTCTGTCCGCGCTGAGGGTTAATTGTTCTTCTCCTTACATTGCTGCCATTACTGGGATTTATTTTAAATATTAGGCAACCCATTGGGTTTACTAAAATCACACGAATAAATTTAAAATACATTAAAGTAGCTTAGCAACATTTTAGTTTGGTTTATTAGACGATGTGTAGTTAAAATCAAACATTTATACCACTATTATGTGACATGAAAATATCGTCTTTTAATCCTTCTGTCCCGTAGCGTAACATTTTAAGATTTTTACGAATAATTGAAAAAAATAATAATTTATTATTCTTTATTTTTATTTGTCACTTCAACTCATATACGGCACATTCTACGTGTTATTTAATACGCTATTTTTGACGCCTTTTCCAAGTATGATAGCCAGTAAATAAATCACTTCGAAATCGCTGTGTAACGTATAATAATATATATAATATATATATATACATATATGTTTATAGCATATAAATATAATGCGATTTAAATACGAGCCCAATATAAACAGCGTGTGTAGGAATGCAATAAAACTCAGCTGTGTGATATAATTTGAATATTTATTTCATAATGTCACTGGAACAACGTAAGGGCAACGATCCAACAATACGGAGCGGAGAAAATGCTAGAATTTCGATAAGATATATATGCACTTATGTAACCAATACGCCATTTTCATGCCACCTGTTTTTTAATATTAAAAAATATAAAATTGTTTTCAATAAAACTTCATGAAACTGAATTAGGTTGCTCCGAATACAATTTATCATAAAGGTCGCTCATTTTTTTCTTACAATTGAGCGGTAATTAGTCTACGATTATCTCTAGTAGAATTTTCCCTTTATAGTTATTGAATAAATATTCTCCTTTCCGTTATGGTAGACCGCCCTTAGAGCAGGCGGTGATGTCGTTTTGGACTCGTAACGACATCGCCACCGCTGGAATAAACTATAAAAACAATTCTCAACATTCTATAATATTAGAACATTATATATAATATTTACATTCGACTAGCATATATTTACACTAACTACAAACAGTAGGTATATACACAAAGCTGAAATATTATACAAGTTATAGTCCATTTGTTTAGGAGTTCTGTTTTATAAGTTACAATTCAACTATGGAGACCTTACAATTGAGATCAAAGCATTGTGGTACACAACTTTATTATTGTTAAAAGTTTTTACAAAACATAATTGAATCATTTTCATTACTTCATATTTAATAACATATACCGTATCACAGAACAAACATAGCGATTTATTTATACATAAAAAGCCTTGTAAAGTCTTCAATATTATTTGTAATTAAACAGAACACTACAAATGTTCAGTATTTTTTATTACGGCCGCGTCTATGCGTACCGAAGAGAATGCGCGCGAACGCTTGCCGGAAATCCGGGCTGAATATTGTGTAAATCACTGGGTTTAACGTCGAGTTAAAGTAGCCAAGCCACAGGAAAAAGCTAGCTAAGTAGTCGCTTATCACACACGTCTGACAGATTGGCATCACTAGCGCCATTATGAAAAATGGCAGCCAGCAGAAAACAAATGCCCCGGTAATTATTGCCAGCGTTTTCGCTGCCTTTCTTTCGCGTTTTGCTTCTAATGATTCCTTCTTCTCTCTTTGTGATGGTCCTGTTATGATTGAACGTTCGGGCTTTGAGCCATTTGTGGCCGTTGAAGAAGACTTTTCTGGTGACACCGGGGCTTTTTCGTTTATTGTGAAAGCAGTTGTTTTTGGTTCTTCGTCTAACGTGTCTACCGTGGAGGTACTTTGGCCTTCAGTGAGTAATAAGGCTGCAGCAATGGTTTCTGCCCTAGTACGTTGGTTGCATTTCTTCAAGTTGAGGAAACGTTTCTTGACAAAACGCCTATCTCGTGCGGACTGTACGGGTCTGCCGGTAGGCGGAGCGCCGTCAGCTGACGAAGGTCTGGCTGGTGGTGGATCTCTGGAATAATCCAAATGGTTTTATTCCCTCGCTTTCAATATTCATAGAAACAAAGAGGGTATTGGATGAAATATTAGTTACGCCTATATCATATTTCTAGTAATACTTCGTGTGTAATTTAAGTCTTGATTTTGAAAATGCTGGGGTTTCAATACAACCATTTCTCTATTCTACAAGATTTTACCCGTTTAAGCGTACAATTTACATACATTATTTTAACTATTGTTGACAGTCAGATGTAAAAGTTTGAGACTGAAGTTATGTATATAATATATATATTATTATATAATAATACTTATTACTTCATGTAGGTAAAAAAAAAATTATGAATAAAATTTCTAATAGTGGAATGTCCTATCTTGACATGTACTAACGTTCAGTTTATCTTACGCAGCGACACAATAATCCATGCCGGGACGATTGATTGCTTACTAGACTAGTGATTCTGATAGACGACAACGAATTTAACTTAACGATAGCCATATAGATAATTGTTATTGAAACATGAATATTCATCATTACTACAAATAATTAGTAGATAATGTTATATAATGAAGGAGATATTATATTAATAGTTATTTAGTAAGATATACAATTACACAAGTAATGTTACGTAGCTCCTCAATTGGTAAAACATATTTTAAATAAAAAAGAAAAACTAAACAAAATAGTGTCTGCCCCAATAGGAAATTAATATTAATGGAGAAAATGAATAAATTAGCAGTGTAAGGGTTCGAATCCCTGCGAAGCATCAATGAGGCTGCTCAACACTTGAATATAAAAGTTACTGCTCTATTGCACTGATTACCTATAAAATAATGCCATGATAATATATAAGATTCTCGTCTCACAATGTTCGTTCCCGTACCCCTCCGAAGCGGTTTGACCGATTCTTATGAAATTTTTTATGCATATTCAGTAAATCTGAGAATCGGCTACCATCTTTCTTTCAAACCCCTAAGTGATAAGGGGTGTCCACCCCAAAAATTTTTTTTTATTTATAGACAATTTTTTTTGTTTTTATCTTTCATGATACAGCAAACAAAAATACATACAACCCTTAACTTTTGTCTACCCTCTACGATTAATCCATGTTTTTTATTTCTTAGTTAAGAACTTGAACTCTGGGGTTTATATAGAAAAAAATCACAGAAAAACCTAAAAAGTTTTCATTCCGGAAAACCGAACAGTCTCTGGGGTAGCATAGCTAAATGTTCCATGTTGGTATGTACTAAAAAGGTAGGCTAAGTAAAATCTCATTAAGGAGAAACGAAGTTTGCGGGGACAGCTAGTATATTATAAAAAAAACTGAGACAAACACACTTTAAGTGTTTTGTCTAAAGCAAAAAACAAAAGACGTTTGACAAACTTTTGGCATAACGTAATTGTAACACACCTTCGCCTTCGTATTCGTCTTCTCGCTGTCTGGAAAATCTTCCAATACAAGATAAGGATGACAGCTAGCGGAACATAGAAGGTGGAGCAAGTAGCGAAGATCTGGTAGGCAAGATCTTGGCTTACGAGGCACTTCTGTTGTTGTGTTATTCTCGCGAGGTAGTCTGGGTCCTTCCAGCCCAACTGTGGAGCTAAAGACACGACCAACGCTGCAGCCCAGACGAGGAAGATCATTGTGAAAATACGCTTCTCATTCCTTATGTGAATGTAGTCGACGTTTGTGACGGCCCAGTATCTGAAAGTGTGGCCTATGTTAGTGAACAAAGTAATAAGAAAGTTCTTTTCATTTTAAAAGTGTTCCCAAGGTAACCAACCATTACCCAATATATTTATAAATATTTTTGATTTGTGTATGTATCAATCAAAATCATAACATTCCCGTACTTAAATACACTTTTAAATAAACGCAAATGTTCGCTTACGAATGAGGCATACGTTATCATCTCAACTTATTAACGTTGTTTTTTTTCGGGACTTTTGACAAACAAATAAATCACACCGATAAGAAATAACTTTTAACTTTCAGTCTGGTGTAAAAAAAATACATTAAGTTGGTATTATTAGTTCAGCGATAACTTTAAGTATACGACTAGTGTCTTGCATGTTTTAAGGAAAACTTGTTGCTGGACATATAATATTCCAACTAATACATAAACAGTAAAACGGCCAACGGCTAGCACCACTTGATAATATTATTAACAGTTATTCAATAATGATCAATTAGTCAAAACGCGATGATATTCTAGACCATTGACTTGCTCGCATCTGTGGCTATGAATCGCGGCGGAATGTGGAATGCTAGGATCGTATGTCTGACTTTGATTGCACTGCCTGAATAGTCCACATAACTAATATTATGGTGGCTTTGAATAGGTATTTAATGAATTAATTAAATTTATTGAATGAGTCAAGGTATTGGTAATTTCAGCGCGTCTATAATTAGAAAATATTGAATGCACGTATAAATATCTTTGGCTTATGAAATGTAAGCCCTAATTAAAATCTATATAGTATATATGCGTTTGCGTGATCTGTATATATTACCTGTCCGTTGCAATGGCAACGAGATGAAGGATTGATGCTGAACTGCAAAGGACATCGCTGGATGTCCACATGTCACATAGCTCAGGTCCCAAAATCCAACCCTGGCTAACCTGAAGTTATAATTAATGAAATACTTGAGTTAGTGTCCATAAAAACTGTATTTAATTGTTCTATTAGATAGTGTAAATAAATGAGATTCATAGTTCGATTCTTTCTTTCTTTCTTTCTTTAGAAGAGTTTATTCTTGCAATCTATAATTTAAAATGATACTAGAATTTACTGGAATAGAACATACGCATAATGTTAATACTCCCTCTGTCTTCTTTGCCGATGAGTAGGGATGTCTACCAATTCAAATTTAATGACGTGGAATAAGTGATACCTGTATCTTAATTTCTATAATAAACATATTTTATTTTAATTTTTAGAAGGATCGAATTTTTACGATGGTAGGTTTAAACTGCTGATTAAATGATAGGTCAAAAACTGCAATCGGGTCGGTCGGGTTAGTAAATTCTAATACAATTAAAATGCAGGAAAAAAGAAATCTAATTTAGTATTGCTAAAAGAAAATAAGGAGCGTCGAACAGCAGTCGTACAGTAGGTAACAGTAGTGATAACAACAAGGGATACTGAGAGTAATTTTATTATTTGTTTTATAGATACTCAATACGCAATTACTTTGATCTGTTTTGATTGCAACTGGATTTATAGAGATACTTAACCCAGTTTTACGACTCCGTTATGTAGTAATCTAAACAATCTCGATTTGAATAATTACTTAAAATGTCGTAAATTGTGAATACTTGTTATTATAGTAGTAAAGTCTACATCGTAACCGAACAGGATCTTAAAGTATTTGTTTCAACCATTTTACAGCGTCAGTGTAGGGCGAGGTGTTCGTTAAAAGCAGTTGGAGAGATGTACTTATTGAAAATAAGAGGATACAAACCATTGCGGTACCTTAAGATTCGATAGGTACTGCTTACTTCAAACTCAAACTCAAAATATCTTTATTCATGTAGGTAAACAATTACACTTATGGATTGTCAGAAAGAAGTTAAATTAATTGTAAATTTACATTTACTACCAGTTCGCAAGTCAAGGGCGTAGAGCGGGTAATAATAACTGGCAAGAAACTTTCCGCCACTCTTTTTAATCGCCAAGTATTGTCATACAAATTGTTTGAACTGGAGCAAATCAATCCCAAGGATAAGGATCATTTAAGTATTCCTCAAATTTATAAAGAGCTTTATTGATTAATTTTCGTTTAACGAGGGCTTTGAATTTATTTAGTGATAATTTTCTAATTTCGCTTGGGAGTTTGTTGTAAAAACGAATACAATTTCCATATGTGTGGAAGTGGTTTATCTTTTTTTTTATCGTTTTTTTGGAGCCTGGTTGGTCTTACTTACGTTTTATACGAAAGATCAGAAAAATTAATTGTTATAAGCATTTAAATTAATAGAAGATAAAATTAGTAAATAAAACAAATATTCCACAAAAAATTCAATCTGAAACATTTGTGGTCTTGCGTCATCAAACACTTCAATAACATATGCCTGTTACGGGTGATATACCTCATAGACAGCTCCGAGTGGCATCACAAGACAAGCCACCATCAGATCAGCCACAGCCAGGGACGCCACGAGGTAGTTCGCTACATTCTGAAGGTTTCTTTCAATTATGATTGCAGCTATTACAAAGACGTTGCCTGGGAACAAGTAAAAAACGATTTTAAATAAAGAATACGATGAATGCAAAAACTTATCGTGACTATACAAAATAATTCAAACACTTTTGAAATCAAGGGCGATGAATGGAGAAGCATAACTGCCAATAAACTCACAGCTACCCTTTAATTGGCACGTTTTTGTTTTACAAGAAGTACGGACCCCTTCAATTATACCAGGAACTACGTGATATATAGACGATGTGACAGATTTTATGAATGGACACAGGATGTATGACGAATAAGAAACAAAAAAAAAATTGTTTTAGTAACACACTTAAGAACTATTTTTTTTAATTCGCTAAAGGCCACTGGGTTATTTAGCATCTTAAAAAGCATAATTCTACATAAAAATAAAAAGTGATAACATTCTTAAGACGAAACGTCACTAACATTTTAAAGTTATTTATCAAAATTGACAGTTCAAATGTTCGTTCCCATACTCCTCCGAAACGGCTCGACCGATTCTTATGAAATTTTATATGCATATTCAAAAAATCTGAGAATCGGCTACTATCTATCTTTCAAGCCCCTAAATTTTAAGAGGTGTCCACCCCAATTTTTAAAAATTTATTTATTAAAAAATTGTTTTTATTTTTTTATGATACAGCATACAAAAATACATACAACCTTAATTTTTATCTACCCTCTACGATCAACCCCTTTTTTTTGTTTGTTAGTTAAGAACTTATAACTTGAACTCTGAGGTTTATATATAGAAAAATCACAGAAAAACCTAAAAGTTTTCATTCCGGGAAATCGAACAGTATCTGGGGTAGCACAGCACAATGTTCTATGATGGTATGTACTAAAAAGATAAGCTAGGCATAAAGGAGAAACGAAGTTCGCGGGGGCAGCTAGTTATTATTATAAAATTATTCATATCATCTTTTTATTTTTCGGAACACGAGAAGTAGATCACATCCATCATCGCATGTTAAAGCACCGTGTTTTATTTATATAGGAAATAATGAAACATAAATTATTTGTATGGTAAATAAATCTTTTCTCGGCTCCGAATATATTGTGAAGAGGTATCATACAACCTTCCATTAGATTTGCCACCCCATATCAACACTTGTGAAAAGAGAGTTTTATTTTGTATTGCGAACGAATCCCTATGCCCTTTATAGCGATTCTGATGGTTCTTAGGCTGAGTTCATACTAAATGAACTCTATGCTCTAGTAATAAATGGTAAATGCAAAATTACTACTTAAAAAAAGAGCTTTTAAAAGCTTTCAATATTTTATATAGGTCAGGATAATTTACGCTTCGATGTTTAAGTCAGTTTAAAAGTAGGAGTCATTTGAATTACTTGATCAATTCTATAATTATTGAAAGATAAGATAAGTATGTGAAGAAAATACTCAATTTCATAAAGTTTTCAAGTTAACGACATAGCGATATATACCAGCGTGGCTTAATTAAGTAATGGTTTTGATACAAACATTGAAGCGTGTTTGACAACTTTTACTTGACAATATAAAAAAATAAAATATCATATAAGCGTGATAGATACATTCTGTTCGCTCCTTGTTAACAGGATGTCTATACAAAATTCAAACTCGCACGCCGAACTTTCGTACACGCGACCCTTGACCCATGGGAAGTAATGGACTGAGTATTTACTTTTGTTCTGTCGCTTTTCATCAATATAACTTATTTTTGTGACTACATTTATGATATTAACAATATATTGGAGATCATAAGAGTCTAAAATAGTTTATTTTATCGTATCCGTATCCTATATTTACAGTTCTAGATTTTACACAAATCAATTGGTTAAGGATACTTGCAAACAAGTTTATATTATAAATAAATAATTAAGTTAAGAAAAAATTCTAAAAGAATTATTTTCTTTAGACATTAGAAGTAGCAATTGCTTTTGATATTAAAATTTCTATTGTTTCTGTATAAAGTTACTGTAAAAAAAGAACAGAGAGTTATTACTACTATTTCTTACTATTTTTTATACCCCCAACTGATAAGGATGGCCAGCACGGCCACACGATCAGCATTTTTTAAAATTGATTTTCAATTAAAAAATACAAATAACTCTATAGTGATATTAGTACTGTAATAATCTTTAATAATCCAATACAATGTTTGCCGGGTTAACTAGTAAATACAAAATATAACATTTTAATAACAAATACGAATATTTTTAAGATTTCGATATTGGTCACCATATGAATATCATTTACCGGTATTTTTATATATGCAAATGCATCATTAATATTTCCAGCCTTAAGATGGCTATAAAACAACAAAGCAACCGCAACTTAAGCGACGTTTAACATCGTACGAGTATCGTTAAACAAAAACGTATAAGCTATACGTGCCTAATAGTCCGTTAGAGCCCACTTAACCCACATCCACTACTTGACATAGGTTTGTGCAACTGATTCCGATGACTTCCCAGTTGACCTGACGCTTTTGCGTTTAACTTTTTATCAGACGACTGGTGCTGTTTTTATCTGTAATCCGGTACTTACAATACTTAACGTATTGTATTCTGTGGTTACATATTTTTTGAAGATTGTACCGCTTCTGAAAGAGAACTAATTTTAAATTACTATGAATCATTTGAGTGCCAATTGACATGACTATAAATCGCCTAAAGTGGAAGTGGGTTGCTCCGGAGATCACATTGTCAAGCAAACTCTCGACTGTAAGGCAAAAGAAAACGAGGCCGCATAAAACAGACCTGGCAACGAAGCACCATTGCCGAGGCGAACGAAGCTGGAATGACCAGGAGTGAAGTTACAAGAGCTGCCCAAGACCGATCAGACTGGTTTTCTACGGTGGATGTCCTCTGCCCCATCTCGGGGACATAGGAACCTTAAGTGAAGGAAATCATTAATTGAATCATCAAAATAATTCACTATGACTATAGGCTTATCTTTAAAGATTTCCGGCTTAAATTCTGCCGATTAGAGAGTACAGGTTTAACAATTGAAATATAGAAATACTTTTATGTGTAATTTATGACTCGTAATCCTCCATTAGAGCCGCTCTCAGGGTTTTTATTATCAGTAAGGCTGAATTTAGTGTCACGCCGACCGCACGCGTACCGTCGGCGCTGATGGTCGAGATATATGAACTTCTAGAAAGCGTTTTTGAATGACGCGTAGCTATAAGCGCGCACGGTGGTCAGCGCCGATGGCTGCGCGACCGTACGCGTCGCGCGTCGGCGCCGCGTAGCTGTCAGCGCTGACGATCGCTACTCGCTAGAGCGCCTCTGCTTTCAGTGAGCGTTGTAGTGTCGAACGGAGCGGACGTCGTCAGCGTGTACAGTCATGGCAAATCGCGAAGTGGATACAGGTCGAGTTATCGACGAGGTACGCCTGAGGAAGAAATTGTGGGATGCATCCGATCCACTCTACAAAAATAAAGATGCAAGAAACAAAGCCTGGGAGGACATTGTCGACACATTGTTCGAAAATATTTTAGTCTCCTGCAACGGCTCTCTGCTCAATCAATGGATGAACATGGAGTCTTCGTCGTCGCCGGTTTTTATTTTTTTGAGAATGGTAGTACAAAGCAGCAATAACTAAAATACACTCCGCATTTTGGTCTTCGTATGTACAGTAAGGCGGTCAGTACGATACTAAAACGAACCACGCTGAGCGTCAGCGCTGACGAACTACGCGCTGATCTTATGAGCGCTGACGGTGAGCGTGAGACTAAATTCAGCCTAAATTGTCATTTAAGCAATTCAGAATAGTTTTTTAAGAATATACAAAAGTTTTGTGTTCCTAATGTTAAAGTTATCTATGTCCAAGTAACTGCTAATAGAAATATAATGAAATTCTAATAGAAAGCGAAAATGGGGCCTTCCCTGCACTATACATCCTTATAGCAATCGTTAGCTATTGTAAAATATTGTAGCTGAGTTGCATAATTATTCTATATTTATACATATTTAGAAAATTGTACATACAATATTAAACAACATTTTAATATTGTGAACACAAAATATAGTGATAAGTTTGTTACGGAAGTGCTGGGAACCCTGACAAACGTATCTTTTACGTAAAAGAGTCCCCAATTCTAAAAAGAAATGTATTGCATGTGTACCTATAACGAATAATTTTTATTATAAAGATTTGTGTGTTTTTTTAACGAATTAACTCAAAATTACTTAACCAATCTAAAGAAATCTTTCATCCTTGAGTAACAGATATATATATATCCATATTTAAAAAAAAATACAGCAGTTATAAACTGGGACAGGCCGATAGATAGATAAGTATCTATTATATAGATTTATTCATTCAGTGTCGCCTATTAGGGATATATACGGAAAGATAATTCTGATTTAATCGTCTTTAAAATGGATGCGACCTCGGAGTAGGAGGTTTACTGGTCTTATTTTATTATAATTCTAAAGGTTGGTTAATAAATTAAAATGTTCAGATATTTAATTTACCAACTTACCTTTTTGATAAGTCCTAATTGATGTAAAGGCAGGGGCGTGTCAGGAAAAATTTAATTACCCACCGTAGCATAATTTTTCATTTCGGGTTAATTAACTTTTCCGAACGGAAAATTAGGTTTTGACGTGATGTCAGTTGACAGTTTTCTTTAAGAATTTATATCGGTGTACAGTTTTATCTAGCTGGGGTTCAATTTAAATTAAAACTTTAGAAAACGGGCTTTAGGTGATAATATTAATTGGAGTAGATTTTACTATTTCTATGTTACGTATAACGTAACTAGTAAAAAACTTACGGAGTTAACGGAGGTTTTTATAAAATTAGGTTGAGAAATTTATATGTTGGTACTATACTCGGTTCTATTTCATTCACACATAAAGGTAGCAAAGCATTAAGTCAACTTTTACAACCCGAAAAAAGTAATTTACTAGAAATTCAACCCAGGACCTCTTACGCTATGTCCGTTAAGCTTCGCCTTTACTCAAAGGACTTATTTTAAAATCTTTTTACCAAATAAATAAACGTAAGTGTATTGATATTAACATACACTATACAAATCTAATATATAAAATTCTCGTGTCACAGTTTTCGTTGCCATACTCCTCCAAAACGGCTCGACCGATTCTCATGAAATTTTGTGTACATAGTAGGTATGTCTGAGAATCGGACAACATCTATTTTTCATCCCCCTAAATGTTAAGGGTAGTCCACCCCTAAATTTTTTTTTTTTATTTTTAGATATTTTTTTCTGTTTTTATTTTTTTATGATACAGCATTAAAAAATACATACAAACCCCTAACTTTCACCCCTCTACGATCAACCCCTATTTTTTTTATTATAAATGATATATATGGCAAAACGACGTTTGCCCGGTCAGCTAGTAATTTTATATTATCCATAATGCATCACTTTTATACTAATTTATCCTAGTGTAAATATAAACAATTTTACTAAATAGTTATTGCTATTCACTAACGAAATAACTGCATGCAAGAAGACCTTGACTAAATCCTATGTAAGCTGAGTATTTCAAAGCGGAAATACATAATATCATTAGAGACTGTATTTTGGGAATATCATTCAGGCACTTTCGTTAATATAGCCTGGAGTCGAGCCAACGCCGCTGCCAAGTCCACCCAAGCTGATATGATTACAAAGAAATTGTGGATTATAAACGTGTTATTGTCATCGTTAATCAGTATTTCATACTTATTTGCATTTAATGTTTGAATTGACGTGTGAAGATTGGTATCTTGCAATGTATTAAGTTATTTTGTATTATTTATCAACTATGTGCAAGGGAGCTGCTATCTGAATAATGTATACGTGTATTATCTGTCGTTACCTGCGGCAGTTTGGGGTCTGATATTTTCTGAAGTACTGTAGATCTGGACTACATTCTTACAGTAATCGCACTTTCTTTGCAAATAAACTATATTATTAATATTATATTTGTCTAGAATCTATGTATTCCGTACTTAAAGAGTCCTAAGTTGTATAAGATGTGACTACGTTGTTATAGGTTTTTTCTTTTTAGGCATGGAGGGCATTTCATATGAGAACTGTTGACTTGACCTCTAGACCACCATCAAGCGATGCAATCTAAGCGTACTCCCAAAAGTTCTTACCAATAATAGTGGCTAGAATGATGAGCGCCAGGACAACGGACGTCACCGCCATGAGGACGAGCGACGTGACGTCACTGGTGGTAGCATTGCCCGTCACGTTGGCGGTGAGGTTGCAGCCCCACGACACTGCGTCCACCCAGGAACAGTTATCATACCACCCCGTCGAGACTTCATCTGTAACAATGAGAAGACAAGATAATCATTGTTTTTTCTTTAATATTTATGCTCATATGTAGTTGTTTTCTATGTTTAGTGGTAAGGCATAGTTCATAGCTATAGTACGAGTAAGCCAAAATTGTTGCAAATTCTGAAATTTTTAGTACAGTTGGCAATCGGACAGGCCTGATGTTAAGTGAGATTGCCGTCCATAGACCCGACACTGCCAGAAGGATCGCAAGTGCGTTGCCGCTATTTTAAGTAGTAACGCTCTATTATTGTTGGACCCTAAGACGAATTGGTTCGTAATTACTTCAGTGGGCAGCTGTTCCATAGTTTTAGCTGGTTCATTTATATATAATATATATATTTTTTATTTGTAATTGTTATTTATTTTTAAATAAATACTGTAAATGTTTGATATTAAGTGTAGGTTAATCAAAATAGTTTATGTTCCAAGTCAATATGAATTTAATTGTAAGTAATACATTTAACATTGGTCAATAACATTTTGTAAAATTCTGCAAAGTGCAAATAGTTTCTATATAATTCTGCAAACTGCAATATACTCTATTAAAAACTTCATATTTTATATTTGTAATGTGTTCTCGTTCGTGTCAATTATAACGTAACAAAAATAACGTCGCATAAGATAAATAATAATAAAAAATACCACATTTTAGATTTTCGCGTAAATACGGAAGCTGAATTGTAATCATATTTTCGTTCATTCAATTTGTATAGAATTTGTACCATAACGTCGTAGCGTTTTATTAAGTTTACAATCAGAGTTACTTCGTTATATTTGAAACCAAATTTATAACTAAATTATTTTTAAATGACATTCACTTTGATGTATATTATATTTTCCGTCGCCCATCTCTGAACATGAATTCGCCACTTAACATTGAGAGCTCTTTGCGTCCTCTTTGGCCAATGAAATTTTCCGATTAAAGATGTAGCATTTCACAAACACACTTCTTACTAATATTATGTTACATTACACATTCATACTTACTATTGGCGATTGATTGGAGTTTATGAAGAAATACTATTGGCTTCAAAAATAGATAACAATATCTATATATATATCTAATGAAAATATATATTAAAGTCGCTTCTTGTACATACATATATAATGTGTCAGTCTGAACAAGTACAAAATATTTTTTTATTTACATTCTTTTCAACTAGATACTTTAGTTTTAAAATAATGTTTTTGTTGATTTTGCTGATGTTTTCAACATTAAAAGAAGTAAAATAGTTTTGAAACGTTCACTTCCCTTTCTGGATAATCTTTCAAAGTAATTTAGCTTGCCCATTCCGCCTGTAAACTCTTTTAAACCCTTCATTTTTGTCCGCGTTTAATCGACCAATCGATGTCCACCGAACCGTGACTCTTAATTTATATTTATCCGAAATTCTAGTGAATTATAACGGTCGTAATCGCATACTTTACAGTTAATTAATCCCGCACAAAGCTTAACTGTGCCCGGCTAATGGAACATCTACAATGACAAACGAGAAGAAGGAAATCTTGGAAATGGTAATTTAACCTTTTTTAATCAGTGATTTAAATTAGGAACATTGGGGAGAGGGAGGTTCTTTATAATTACACTAGGCTGAGGTAGATAAGAGAACACTCGTGGTAGTTAAGCGAAACGAGCTGGAGGGGTCAATCCAAACAATTCTTCAGAACACTTCCCATAGTACACTTTGTAGAATCGCATAGAGGCGAAATGACTATGCGTAGAAAGAGAGAGAGAGGGAACCAAGCCGATCTTCGGGCTTGTTAATTTGGTCAAAAGGAAGAAGCTGGTATTTGGGTTTCTCCATAGTTTAATAGCTCATTTGTTTGTTAAGTCATTCGTTGTTTACATAGCTTTCTTTTTAAGAAATTAAAATTATGGGACCTCATCTCCTTTTTGCAAATTACCATATGCACCATTTACGATGAGAATAACTTACTTATACAGGTACAGTAATTATGATCTATTTCATTGCATACTGCCTGAATTGACAAAGATCGCATTATTCATATTTTTTTTATAATAAGGTTTGGGTTTTATGTTATCTTGTTTTGGTATTATTACTCCATATCCAAAAATGGCGGTATTTGATGACGTATTACGTCCCTAATTATAAGTAGACATTAAAAACTACACCCGATATATTTAAATGAATATCTGGCGATCTTTAATCTCAGTGAAAGAGGTCAGCCTTGCGGTTCTGTAACTCACTTTTCTGATAAGGTGGGAGCTTGTAGTTTATTGTTTATCAGATTGCCAAATCGTAAAATGACTGCTTTACGACTGATTTGAGCGCGACCGCCGCTGTGAAAACCGCTGTGAGAGTTTGAAAAGTGAGTTACAGAATCGCAGGGCAGACGCCGTTGGAATCGGTGTGGAGTTATATTTTTATTATTTAATTGCAATGCATTATTTTTGGATTATTACATTCTGGAGACAACACAATTTTGTTAGATTACAAGAAATGGTAATAATGTCTAAGGATTTTCTTATTTATAATATATAATAATAATTATAATGCAATAATATATTAAGCTGTAAAATATGTCGGTACAAACTAAAGCAATTGCAATTCAAACAATTCGGTGAGCTAAATCTAAATGACTGACTGTGACTGATTTATATTTCGACCGAAACCACTGGAGTGAATTATATAGAATTATTGTATTTAAATAATTGCTATATATCTAGTTTACAGTATATAGAGAAATTGGTGATTTTTATTATAAAACATTCGTCGTTCGAGAGGAAATTGTAACTAAGACAGTATATATTTTAGTTATTACTTAGTTTATTTATAGTGTAAATCAGCTGTAATCGAATTTGAAATGAGAAATTAAACGGGTAAAGTTGCAGCGTTCTATATTTAAATATTAATCCAGTAGATTCACGAAGAATTTTGTTATCTCATGATACCGATGTCCAATAATTACCTTCTTAAGTGTTACGAGTAATATAAATTCAAATAAGAAGATATAATTTTATATTGTAGTACAAATAATATGCTGAGGATAATATTTCTTAAAGATATCGATTAATCAATACAGTCCAGAGTTAAGAAAAAGATCCCTGAAGATCCTAGGTTCGAGTACCCAAACAATAATTAACGGGTAAATTAAAAGGCTGATCAAATTGTCTTAAAAAATTTGATAAATGTGTCTGCTCTAACTTCTATTACATTCAAATATAATTTTGATGAAGTTTATATTAACTCACAGAGGAAATAACATGCATATTAGCAAAATGATTTGCTTCGAGATTTTTATTATTCATTGGAGTGTTCAACATAACTTGGATTTATATGAAAATTTCAGTACAATAAAAAACTTAGTGAGAAAACGAAGTTCATTAAAAAGTGTTCTTCATACGTTTATTAAAGCAATAATTACACAAGGGAACAAAATTAAACTTTTTTTTCTGTATGCCTGTTATCTTCGAATTATAAATCTAAGTTCCTTTTTTCTGATAACTATCATAAGATCATTTACGCTTAAAAACTACCATTAAAGCAAACAGAAATGAATCTCTATGCTCCAAGGGACTACGGATGAATATTATATTGATACTAGCTGACCGGGCAAACGTCGTTTTGCCATATATATCATTTATAATAAAAAAATAGGGGTTGATCGTAGAGGGGTGAAAGTTAGGGGTTTGTATGTATTTTTTAAAGCTGTATCATAAAAAAATAAAATCAGAAAAAAATATCTAAAAATAAAAATAAAATATTTAGGGGTGGACTACCCTTAACATTTAGGGGGATGAAAAATAGATGTTGTCCGATTCTTAGACATACACAATAAGCACACAAAATTTCATGAGAATCGGTCAAGCCGTTTCGGAGGAGTATGGCAATTGGCAACGAAAACTGTGACACGAGAATTTTATATATTAGATTGTATAGTGTTATACGCATTAAATGTCTTACAAGACCTGAAAATGGAATGTTTCTCTGACTTATAGCTAATATATAGTTTATGTTTCACTTACAGCTGGTATCATTGATCCCACGTGGTGGTGTCCCTGATAAGTTCATGGTCGCACCGAGCCGCTCGTCCTCCTACAACAATAAATAACCTCAATGACACATATCAACACTTAAACACATATAACTGTAACATCTGTAACAAGATGATGATGTAACAAGTAAATATTCTTAAATTATTTCATAGTATTTACAGCAAAGACTCAAAGTCAAGATTCACGTATGTCAAAAACGTATTGGATTTTGATACGCGGAGCTATAATTCGCGTTTAGTCTCGACTCGAATGCTCTGCGATGATGAATCAGTGAGAAATTATATAATATATCGACTTCTATTTCATTAAAAAGTAATTGACTAAGTATAAACTAGGTATAAAATTGCATTTTTAAACAATAGCGAGAAGTTCAATAGAGCTTCACTATCATTTGTTTGTATAAGGTCACATTGATGATAATGATAATGAAATAATACAAAAGCTGCATCATACAAGTGCACACTTAAACACTAAACGAAATTTAATTCTAAATGCAAGGCCTTTTCAATACTTAAATTAACTTTAAACTTTTCATATAAAATGTTCCGAGAAACTTTTTAAATAAACATTTTACCGAACATAAAAGGGTGTTTGATGAAAGAAAATAAAGAAATACGAGTTAGGCGTTCATTTGCGTTGGATTTTTAAACTTTGCTTGTACATATTTGAAAGTTTTTAATTTAAATTCCTAAATGTGTCGCCCGAGTTTATAGTTATTTATGAGGCTATTAATTATTTATAAGCTGCGAAAGTTTGAGTTTCATTAAAGCAAGCTATATTATATTGTAAGCTTTAATTGCTTATCTTTCAATTCGATTGAGGTCGTGCGCTTGTAGATTGACAATATGCAAAGGGTTTTTTTTTGTGCGCAATAAACGCTCGTTCCTACGGCGAAGAAAAGAGGACACCGGCATATTTTAGAAAATAAAATTGCTAATGCGCCCAAGCTCTTTTAGCGCATTAAACTCAAATCTCTTAAAACCTACCCCTTATCACCCTTTGCATGGGTGCCTTTGTAAAAGCAGTTACAAAAGGTAGTATTAAAAGCTATATACATATCAGATAACATTAATATCAAGATATAGGGTGATTGTATTGTTCCAGTTAAACAGAGCAATGTCAAGCGTTGTTCTATTTATATCTAACACGCCCTCTTATCTACTTATTTAATACGTCAATTAATAAATCCGTCGAAAGTTTTATTGTGGCAAGTAGTTACATTTGTAGCGTGTAAGCACAGGCCAATGTCACTGTCGACATTTATTCTCCCCGAATTTCGGTGAAATGACCCGAGCTCCAGGCCGTTTTTCTCGCAAATGAATTCTGGCCCCGATTCGTTTGTTTATGTTTCACAAACTTACATTTATACACTTATACCACATAGGGACTCGTAATTATTATTTTGTTACGGTAAGGTTGGCAGCTGTTATTGTTTTGAATTTAGAAGGTTGTTTTAAAAACAAAAAGTTTTACAAAAACCTAAATGTATTATCGCGTTCCAAATTTAAATAATATGTGACGCTAGTCGTCGATGGCGAAAAGCCAGTCAGCGAAGTTACGTGAAGTCATTTCAGTGTGTGGATCGCAGACAATTAGTCGTTAGCTGATTGCTATGCCTAATGTAGTAAGCTCTCAGCAGTCGCCAGTATTCAAGTTTTAGAGCAATCATAGTTGATGTGTCAGCGCCGAGTGATCAGTGTTATACTAAAACAGCATTTGTGAGAAGCACGTAGGATATATAACTTAATTTTTATCTACTGACTCAAACATACACTTACTAAACAAAACTGTTACAAGCCAAAGTTATTCAAATTAACCTTTTACAAAGCACTGACAATTAGATCTTTTAAAAATCCAAATAAGAAAAATTATCAGTTTAACTTGTATGTTGTATGTATGTGATATTTTTGGTTATTGGATAATTATTAATGAAGTAAACTAAGTATTGTAATTTATTTAGGCTTGCCAGTACACGTGCAAAATTGCAAAACAGGTGTTACATTTCAAATAAAAAAATGAAATCAAAACAACTAAATTAAGCTCAAATACAGTCAACGGAAAAGTGGATTTTATGAATTCCAATCTCATTCGTTAAAGTTGATTAAATTTTTCTCATTCTTTCTTGAAATACCGTGAAGCGTGCACGTGTTTACGAAACGAGAGAGAATTTAAGAGATTTTCAAGGATTTCATATAAACTGATTCGAATGAAAACCTAATGAAACTTTTTCAAATATGAATTTCGTACTGTAAAGGGATTTTAACCACTTAGTTACAACTGTTTTACATATTATATTTTAGTAACGTGTGTCTTGAGGAGCCAATAATCAAAATATCTCACCTTATGTTTCATCTGTGCAAATTTTCAAGTGCCAACTGTCCGAAATATCCTTTGTTCATTTTAAACAACAATTACGTAACATTCATGAGTCTAAAAGCCTGTTATCGTAGAGTACGCGGGGATATAGTAAATATCCATATTAATTATTTGATTTAATACATTTTACCATATATATTATCAAATCAAATATTTCCTTATTATAATTCCCAGTGATTGCTATGGTCTAGCAAAGTAAAGTTTACTTAACATTCAAATCCAAAACGTCGAATAGTGTACCATAGTCTTAAATATCTTATATAATAGGTGTCTGCAGTTAATATGACGTTTGTATCATTTACACTTAATTAAAATTTTGAAATTAACACCTCAAAAAGAATTCTTTAATCTCACTTTCTTAACTCAATACATTTTACTTATATTAATTACTATTCATATATAATTTTAATGAGTTGTTACCTATTTTTAGTTTTTTTCTTTGTTTACGTAGTACCTACCTATATGTTTCGTATTCACAATTTCCCACATAAAAATTCAGGCTCGCTTGTTAGCGAAAAGGCCATGTTTTGCCCTCCTAATTATTTATTATAAGCTACCTAATCACATGTTTATACGAAAAAAAGTATAAAACGTCCCAGTAAAAGAAAATCCTTTCTAGGGTGATCTGAAAAAATAAATCAATAAATCTGATCAGAAAATATTTTTTTTTTAGGTCTGGACCTCAGATTTCTGTATCTGTTTCATGATCATTTGTTAATCTAAAAGGCAAGTAGGTGATCAGCCTTCTGTGCCTGACGCACGCCTACGACTTTTTGTATCTAAGGCAAGCCGGTTTCCTCACTATCTTTTCCTTCACCATTCGAGCGAATGCTAAATGCGCACATAGAGGAAAATCCATTGGTGCACAGCCGGGGATCGAACCTACGACCTCAGGGATGAGAGTCGCACGCTGAAGCCACTAGGCTTACACTGCTCTGAACTGAAATAAATAGCTAAAAGAAAAAGGCCCATCAGTTGCCCTCATATGCGTTAAATGTTTTTTAATTTAATTTGCATTTAGTTTTGGCCTGATACAGGTATAATATGTATACATCATTGTGTTTGCTGTTGGTTTATGTTTTCCCGCATGCAAATATTGGTTCTTTATTTAGGCTTTTGTTTATTTTCCTCTAACGTTTTATAACTAAACAAACACATTGTTTACCGTTAATTTTTGTTCTGTGATATTTTTTAAATATATACACATTTTGCGACGATTAGATTATTCGCTTATTGTATTGAGGGATATTAAAATAGGAGCATTGTTTGATGTATGTGGAGGTTGCCTTTGAGCCCCCAGTTACCAATATATGGTACTATATTATTGGTAGCTTGCACCACCACCACACTTTGCCGAGAAAGATAAAGATATAACTGTGTACATATTCAATAATTAATAAAAGCAAAGTCGCGAGGTGCCAAATGTCAATTTGGGTTATTATAATGCACGTTGCGCACTTTATCATTGGTGCACTATTAAATTTAAAAAATCGTCCTACATTACAACTTTGCATGAAGAATAGACTCAAGACCAGGACCTCGAATCCACCCATTAGTCCTATGTTTGAATCCTGGCGACATCCATTCCGCTTAGACCCCGTGTACCTAAACGTAGCCCTCGGTGTCGTTTAACTTTAAATCACGTTAACTGACCTTTTTAATTTACATAAATCGAAAAGTTTTGTTCAAAAATGGTAATTAAATTATATCTGCGCCAATGATCTGAGGAATTAGTTCAATTAGGAAGCTGCGGACTCCCTTTCCATTTAACGTCTTTAACTTTCGAAAAATATCTTAATTCAACAAGATTTTATAATACTGTAGAGACTAGCGTTACTGCAAAACAGTTTGAAAGATTATTTTAAATTCGGCTACTTTATGTTTTTATTGTGATTTATTTAACAATTTAGTTTGCAAAATTTAATAGTATATCGGTGATTACAAAAAAATCGCATTCAAAATTTTGTAAAGTTAAGCCGCGTTTACCGCTGTCATATAATAGTAACAAATAAATATTAGTATACGATCTTAATAAGGTCAACGTTGTGTTATGTAGGTATTTAGGTTAAAACAAATAATATATATAAATCGTTTATTTGCAAAGAATCTAGTACATTCAGGTTAATAATATATTAAAAATCGCACATATCAAAATACATCAATCGGAAATATTAGAATACGCTTGGCATACAAAAGTCATAATAATATACTGCTCAAAACAATTAGCGGAACAAGATTTTTCTCCTTTCTATTGCTTAAACTAAAATTAGATTTAAATTAACTTGTATGCTATTTTTTACCTTGTTAATTTGTTAATTACTACAATTAATAAAAAAATTCAATTTGTTATTCTTTTATTAAAAAAAATTAAAATGTGCATTGTAGACGAAAAACTAATAATATTGTACATCGTGATGCTATATGCACCCACAGCCGTATTGGATTCTCTATGATTCCTAGACATTTTAATCATTCTATAACAATCATATTACTATATCAATTATTAATTTAAAATATGGAATGTCAAAAAAATATTCTTTTTTTTTAAATAGACATAAGGTTTTAAAAAAGCAAGAAAACTGTCCATTTACATTCATTGTTTGTCCATTCTTAGTATTTTTTTAATCTTATTAATTTTTC